GGGGGCCTCTCACTCTCAAAGTGGTGGGAAGTAATATAGCATTTGTACTTGTAACTGTAGTAAGTTACTGTTCTTGAGTGGATTTTTGGGTAGCTGTACTGTAGTAGGGCACAGTCTTACATAACAGTCCAACGTACCAGTTTTTCAAAGTACAAGGCGGTGCCTGACCATTATTATTATTTTATTATATTTTTTGCATTGATATATGAGCAAACCTCTGACATACAACAACCGGCTCCAATAATGATTAAAATCATCAGCTTCTGGCGTGAAAGAAATTCAATATAGGGATGATAAATTTGATATTTCTTATTAGCTGATTTTGCTTTTTTTGGGGGGCGTCAGTCCATAAACATTCCAACAGCGATGGTAACATATTTTGTGTTCAGCGTGTCCTTTTATCAGAGTCATATTCTCTGTCAATAGAGAGTACTGGGGCAATATGTTTTTTTTTTTACTGCAAAATATGGATAAGAATATGTAAAGATTTGAAAAATGTTTTTTTTCTCTTTTCAGACAAGCAGGATGTATAAGTGAGAAAGTTAATGATGAGTGAAGTTGCTTCTCTTACTCATACTGCACTGTACTTCCTGTCTGGGGTCAAAATGTGCGCAGCAGCTCTTCAAAGCAACATATAGGGCCAAGGTGGGGCGCTACAGTCCAGCATGCCCGGTTGGCCAGTTGTCACATCATCAGAGTCCTTTGCTGAAATGATTTATTCTTACGTCTCATCATGCCTGTGCAATTTTGAAGGTATGTTAGCGAGAGTGGATGCAACTGTACGTCTAAGTACAAAGCGTGATTACCTTGAAAAGAGAGGCAACCATATCAATAATTAAAAAATAAATAAATAAATAAATAAATAGACAATGATGAGGAAAGATCAAAGCTGGGAAAATCACGCAAACATTTCTGTAGGCTGCGTTCAGGAGCACCGTGTTGGGTTGCCAGATAAAATGGTCGCCGCGTCGCCCCCAGCTGCTCTTTCCTGATTAGTCTAATCCACTGAGAGCTTCTGATTGAGGACCCCGAGGTATGTGTGTGTGTGTGGGGGG